TCTTCTTGAATATATTTTCTTTAATTAAAACTTCTTTAATTGATTTGGTGATCAAAAGTCTTATTTTTTGGTGATCATTTCACTGCTAATAAATTTGATGATCAAAAGTCACTTTTTTGGTGATCAAAACACATTTATTCCTAAATTAACGTTAATTAGCACTAATTAGTTATTAACAGAAAGAAGAAAGTAAAATTCTTTTCTTTCTTTCCTATAATAAATATTCTTCGCACATTTCTCTATCGATCTAGATGAGAACCAGATTTTTATGATGAAAGAGGAACGGCCAGGAAATTTTTTAATAGCAGCCTGTGCTCAAAAAGTTAACATCATTTTTTTAAGTAATTAATTTTTTTTCTTAGCCAAATAATGTCAGTAAGCCCAAAAAACTTCAGAATATATACTTCAAAGTGTCCTCTACAAACTGGGAAATCTTAAATAAAGTCTAAATGGGAGGATGCTCCCTTAAAAAACACAGATTTTTGAAAAGTGATTTGAATTTTTTTGATTTAGGAAAAATCAACCCTGCAAAATCATATAATATCACACGGCAGCACACCAACAACTCCACACAACAGTAATCGAAAAAAAAACACATCAGGAAGTAAATTTAAAAGAAAAACAGGACGATGGTAAGTGATTTTTCCATCTTAAATATTCCGCACATGTAAACTGTATATGTTTAATATTTTAGATTTACTCAATGATAATTCTTTGAGTCCAAAAACGAGAAAAATCATTCAGTCAAGTCAACATGGTGAAGATAATACATTACAACCAAAACAAGGTGATCAACAAAGAAGTTTTTTGGAGGAGCACAATTATTCATGTCAAAGACCAGACAATTATTCATGTTTTGATACTGAAGAACAAACATCGCCAAATAAGTCAATTTTAGACAGTAATTTGCAAGATATGTCCGTTCACTGATCAAGTGTATGCAGATGCGACTGCTCTAAGATATAACATGAGAAGTCTGCTACCTATTCTTTTTCTGAAATTTTTTATTTTTATTTTAGAATATTTGAATGCCATATCAACCATTGCTGATACAACAATAGAAACCGTTTTTGCTACAACCTTACCAACATCGTATTCATTTGCCTTATGTCCGGTAGACCTGTTAAAATTGAAGAATATTCGTGATCGAAATTTACATAAACAAACGTTGAAAAAATTTGTTAAGATGGGTCTTCCAATTCAAGAATCATCCAATACAATGTACAAAATATTCAAAGCAAAACAACGGCAGCAACAGCAACGAGCAAGTGGTGAAGAAAGTGATGGAAAACGAAAAGTAGATATTGAATATTTAGATATTTTATTACCGCACATCAAGAAATATAATTCATGCTGTGGATTGTGTGTCGAGCAACGATATTTTGGGAAACAAAGAAAATTACCATCCGGTTATCTCTTACGATGTAACCTTCTATGTCATGGTAGTCCATATTGTAAATTTCGATGTTTTATCATTGTGCACAATAACGGTACACGCTACATCATTTCAAGACAAAATGTTGTTAATCATTATATTAATCAGAAAATTGCTCGTCCAATACGTGGTGCAAAACGAGAAGAATTAAAAGAAAAATTCAAAGCCGGCGGCTCTGTATATCGAACTCATGTTGATTATGCTCAAACGCGAACAACATTCGAAAAATTATCATTCAGTTATGACAAATGCGGTACTTCAAAGAAAACGTTTCAAAAAATAAAATCAGAAGCGGTCAGTGAATTAATCCTATACCCAAAAGTCGACACTGCTCTACAATTGTTAGAAAAACGATTCAAGAAAGAAATCAATCCAGATGGAGATGTTCAAGGTGCCATTCAGTTTTAACCAACAAACATGTTGCGGAAGAATTACACGAACTGGCCATGTGGTCCACTGCGTTACTGGTCAATACCAATAGTTGGACCAATATGTTGGATAACTGACGAATTATTTGTCGTGTTTTTATGAATTTATTTACGAATAAACATGATGAACAAGTGTATAATGTCTTATTTAACAAACTCAGTAGTATCAGCAATGGTAGGGCGCTTATACGATGTGATTCTTTTAAAACTTCGTTTTTCTTCTTTGAGTTCTTCAATAAGTTATTCTGTGTCTTTCAAATTTTAGATTCAGATTTAAGAATGTGTGTTACAAAAGATGGTCCAACATTAACAGGTGATCTATTTGATGTTTCTGATGATGAAACCGACAACAACGACGATGATACAAATAATGAACCAGTTCTGCATGTGACTAGACAACATAGCCAAAATAATAAAAGTACTCGACGTGTTAAAACAGTGAGTTCAGCAAATTGTATTATCTATTTTCCATGCACATACTTAACTGCACATGCTCTTTCCTTCTAGATGATCGATGAAGAAGTTGAACTGAATACCGCGAATTCTGAATTTAAAACAGCATTACAAATATTTATTATGAATGTTTACATGAAAAAGGATATCCCAAGGATTCAAGAAAGAGAACTAAAGAAATAATCAGTGGAAATCTGCAGTGATTAGCTTACTTAAACAGCAATTTTATGCCTAGTATTCCCATTTGGTCCAATCTTTTGTTAAATAACTTATGTTCTCTCACAGCTGTTTTCGTTTTCAGTTTTTACCGTTATGTTTGACATTTAGGTAATTTAACGCGTTATCGAAGAGATGTGAAATTGTTTGATAATATAATATTGAAAAAGGATGTGCAACGAACAACAGCCAATTCTGAGCGCAGAATGGGCATATTGAAACGTACACAATTAGGTACGAATATTTTTTCCTTTTTAAATACTTTGGCAGATATTTTGCTAAAGGGATTGCATTTCTGTTGTAACACAGAATCCGGCATATATTACTTGCATTTCTCCCTTTTTCTGAGCTTTTGGTGAATTGATAAGCCATATTTTTTGAAAAAAAGTTTTTATCTAAACTATTTTGTTGCCGTCTTTTACTGCGACAAATGCATCATGTTCTCTAAGAAAAGTCCGATTAAAACATGATGCACGGATCCAATGTATCTAAAGACAGGAATTTTCTAAAAAACTATCTAAGAAATTAAACTCGACCAGACCTTCTTCACAGAGTAATATGCAACAAAATTTTGATAAAATATAGAAAAGCTTTTCATAGTTTTTCTATTAAGTAAGATATTTGAAAAAATAATCCCGACTACTTTAGTTTTCAATTAGTATTTGCACAAGTGTAAAGAAGTGCACAAATAAACCATTTCTAGAGAACGCGAGAAACAGCATTTATGCCATACATCTTTTGACTTTCAGACAGGGGAAAAACCTCATAACACGTTCTGGAACTGATTAATTTATTCAGAAGTCGGTTAACTATAAATGGGTATAATAGTAGTTCTTGGATACAATCCTGTGCTATCCGCTGGTGATGTCCACACTTACCAAATGCTCGATTTCGTCGTCTTTTTTCCAGAAAGTAATTCCTTCGGAATGACAAAATATACACTAATATTTTATCGTCAAGTTACAGAATGGATTTTAATTTTCCTTTGCGTTGAATTACCTGTGCACCACAAGTTTCAGCTTTCCACAATGTTCCCGTTAATTATTGGACTTTTTTAATATGAGATGCATAACAATACCTCTTAAAAATCTGAACCAAACATTTCTTCGAAAAAGTTTATCGATTTAGAGTATTTTAATGACTTAAGATGCAAGAAGCACTTTTTTATCTTTTAATTTCGTTCAATTTTATCTAAAAATAAGTCCAACATCCTTATTTTCTTTATTTCCCATCGGCCATATTATTCCTCTAAACTTTTTTCTTATTTTCGACAAAAGTTTTACCTATCCTTCTTTTAGCCGTTATTATCGGCTATGATTTTCGACTAAAATTAGACAGCGGACTATTTTACATGTAAAACGGGCCTTTTGTTTTTCAAGATTGAAATGCGAGGAAGCACACAAATTTTCTTTGTTTGTGTGTATGTCTATGTCGTTTAGGTGGTGTAGTCCATGAACGACCATATGTGGTTTGGACTATTTTGATTGAAGATATGAACCAAATGGTTGAATCATTTCGAATTGAATTAGCAGCAAGAGTAGCTACCCTTATCGACGATACACAAAATCGACATCAACAAATAAAATTATTACAAGAACATTGGAACAAATTATCAACTAATAAACGTGGCTGTGGATTTTATACAAAACAGCCAGAAGATTACATTATGAACCACATGACGTCAAGTTTGGCAAATCCACCTGTGATTAACGATAATTTATCTTTACCTCAATTATTGCCAGAATGGTTAAATTGTGCAGTCACGTTGTTATTATCAATTGAGAATATTCGTCGTCGAACACTGTCAGCACAATCAAATTTATCACCTTTATTAAAAGAAATAGCCATCTTCATCGACCATTATTGTACTGGTTTATATGAGAAAAAACTAAAACGAAAGGAAACAACAAAAGCAATGAAAACCCAATTTGCAGTAGGTGTCGGATGTGTTAGTGACGATCCATATGAACATAGACTATATTGAAACAAATTCTTCTTCCAGTTATCAATAGTCAACTTCAAGCGATAAAATGGTATTATTGCACAAATTGTGGGATTAAATTACGTGTATTAGTCGTCTACAAATATATACCAATCAACGTTATTAATGGTCAGCTATCACTCGAGAGAGAATTAACCAGTTTCTTTCATGGTGCAACATCAGATCGGCACTGTAAAAAATGTTCAGATATAATGGTACGACGAATGCAAGTATTAAATTGGCCTGATGTTTTGATATTAACAATCAATGATCAAACAACAACAACCATAAAACGATATTCTCGAAAACCATCGAAAGTCTTTTCTTTATATCCATACAATGATGTTATTAATATTTGTATAAATTCAAAATGTATATTTGATTTAACAACATTCATTTCACTTAAGAAATCTGGCACATCGAATAAATTAGTTCGAATAACAAAAATCGACAAGAAATGGTCGACCAGTTTTTCAACAAAGCTTATAGGTGAAGGTGTTGATTTATGTGAACTTTATGCACATAATCAAGTGATTATTTTAGAACGTGTTCGACGATCATTAGACGTTAATATGATTAACGCAATTATTCGCTGTTGTTCAACTGGATTCACAGAAGATGGCTGCGATTTTGTCGATGGTCCGTGTGAATCATTGTTTGATGCTGTCCATGCTATTGAAAATAACCCAAGTTTGAAAAGAATAAAAGATTTATTATCGTCAGATGTATCAACAAGTTTTGTATGTGCACACTGTGAAAAACATTCTGAATAATTCTCATGTCGAAAACAACTAATTTATTTATATCAAAAGAAAGTGTCCATGTTACCGTAGATGATCATGTGGCTATACCAATTACGACGAATTTACATGAAACTAATGGCGATTGTTCACTGTGCGGTTGTTCATTAAATAATGATATTATACTTGACATTTATTCACAACGACATTATCATTCACCCAAAATATTATCGTATCTTCTACAAACCATAGCATATGATGAATTTCTGGAGTTAAACGTTGAATTAAATGATGATGAAGGCAATATTATTCATTATCAGTCACATGCATTATTATTAATAAGCCGATTTACTGATTCAATTACGGTGTTGAAATTGGAAAACCGAAATGATTTTTATTCGTACAAAACAAACCCTTATACACAAAAAACAAAATGTACAAATGCTGAAATTGCTGATTGTTTTTGTACGTCATCAAAAAGCGTTGTGTTTTTAATTCGAGTGAATGTTTAATTGTTTTTAGGTGTTATACTGTTTTCTTATAGCATGCATGGTTTCTGATAGATTTTTTTCTTTCTATTTCACTTGTTTAAATGTGAAAAAATATTTTTTTATTATGTTTTTTATGCTATTTTTTTGTAATTCTTTTTACATAAAAAAATTGATCAAATTTGATTTCACAAAAATAAAAAGCATGTCTGATCAAAATAGCCACAGAATCAAAATTTCTTTTAATTTCTATCTCCAACGCACTGTTTTCTTGGTTAGAAGATAAAATTTTGTTACTCCTTCTGCAACATCTAATATTCTCGACGATAAACTTTTTGACGACAGTATTTGGGAGCATCAAAAAGGTGTAGACGATTTATGTTCGCTTAAGAATTAATATAAATAAATATAAGTGGACACATAACAATAATTATTGCATTAAAACATCTGCTATATTGACCTTTATTATAACTGAACAATCGTAACTGATTTCCATTAGATTAGACAGATACACAAAGCATTCGATTACGTACTGGATACTCTACAAATTACGCAGAATAGGTTTATTCAAGAATGAGTCACCTATACCATAAACGCAAATGTATCGGATGCAATTTTAATTATCGCATGAATCATACTATAAATAAAATCAGCGTTTCCGAAATATCTAGCTAACTATAGATCACCTAAATTTGCAGTCGCAGAAAGGAATCATCTATATAACATAACAAGCAAGCATAGAGTCTGCAGGAACCATATTAATCAGAAGGAGCATTGATAGAGAAGTGCCCCGGACCAAGTGATGCATTTCATCAATGTTCAGTGTTAAGACCGGTTTTACTAAAAGCTTAACAGGGCTAGAACTAACTATAGCTTCGGTATAGTTGCGAGACAACATAAAAAAAGAAAAAAACTGTTCATTTCACGTTGTTTTGGTGTTTCGTAAAAACTCAAAAAAGAATGTTTATGAAACACCCTCCTGACATTTTCTAAATCCATAATAAACTAATTTAAAAGTAAAATAAGAAATTTGAAATCACGGAAACAAGTTCATGCCAGCTGGAATTTTCACAAGAATTGCGCTACTGTTTCTCACAGTTACTAGCGCTATCTATAGTACATTTGAACGAAAAGTGCTTTTTTAAGATTAAAAGCCATATTCTTATCGAACTGTCAATTTTTTAGCTACTTAACGTATTTTTATTAAAAACAATTATAGAGATTGCAATGGCGATTTCGTCATTTTACAATCGATTCATTGTATCTTATCATGACCCAGGCAGACAACCATTTTCTACTATAAAGCGCTGTCACTCAATTGTTGGTTTAAAAGTGCGGCATACATCGTTGTTTCAAAATGATGAGCGGGATAATCGAAAAAGAGGCAAGATGTTACTTACAGGTTAGTTTATATATTGGAACGTTCTTTCGGTTTTACCCTAATGTTGACTTACGGTTCTAGCCTTTCTACTCTGATTTAAATTATTGTTTGCAGGCACACTTTTAGAGTGTGATACGTACATTAGTCGACTCGAGGGAACCGATTTAGATAAGTCCGGCTGATCAGCCGAACCTAAATCAAAAAAACAAACAACTGACACAGAGCCAAAAGCAGGCGGTCGAAAAGAGCGATCCAATCCGACAGTGTCGACTCGGCCAGATGCGTCAAATACATCAGCCACGACCACTCCGACAAAAAAAACCAGAAAATAAAACAAATGAAGCTCAAAATGATATGTTACCACCTCAAGGGGGAAACTGCGGACTTTATAGACTTTAAAGTCCGCTCAGATCCTTTAAAGTCCACCAAGTCCGCTAAAGTCCACTCAAGTCCATTGAAGTCTGCTGAAGTCCCGTTAAGTTCTCTCAAGTCCAATCAAGTCCAGAAACATCCCATGTGATACAACGGCTTATTTCTTTGAGTATTATTGTTAT